TGCAGCAGCAGGTGAGAATAATCCTAGGTTGCAGCTGGGCTCATAACTGTTGCAGTGAGTGCAAGCAGTGCGCAAGGAATTAAGGATTAAACTGAGGTTGTATTGTGTGAAGCTACAAACGGTATATCTACATAGGTGGCTGTAAACAGCGCTAGTGCAAAACAGGGAGTTGCCTCTCACCAAAGGTGAGGCGCGGGTTGCCTATGAGGCAAGAGACACGCAAACCGTGACAGAAGAACACTTGGGTGGAAATCGACAGAACGAGCTCCCAAGGCAGGCCTCTGCCACTCAAATGGGTATTCACATATAAGTTTAACAAAGATAGATACTTTATTAAGTGCAAGGCAAGGATTTGCGTGCGTAGGGACCTCTAAACTAAGAATTTAATTAAGTTAACCTACGCCATAACACTTGCTGCTTAGTCTTTCTACACTATAGTTGCTATAGTAGCCCAGTTTAATTTAGAACTATTTCAGTTTAACGTAGTAGGTGCGTTCCTGAATGCAAGCCGCAGAAACCAGCCTCAGGTGCTCTGTGAGCTTCCTGATGGGTTCTGGAAGCCTGATCAGGTTGTACTCCTACTACAAGCTCTATACAGACTTAGGGATTCACTAGTTCTATGGTATAAAGAGCTTTCCACCACGCTTCAGGAGCTCAGTTTAAAGGCCTTAAGAGAAGAGCTATGTCTCTTCTTTAATTAGGAGCAAAGGATAGTTCTACTATTCTATGTAGACAATATCCTCCTCGCCCATCACCACAAAGATCAAGCAGCTGCAGAGGAACTAATGAGCTCCCTAATGGCCAAATATTAGATAGAAGCTTATGGACCAGCAGAATGGTTCTTGGGGGTAAGAATTATCCAGAATCAAGCTGCTCAGACCCTATCACTTGCTCACAACTCTTATATTAAGAAGCTTGCTACAAAGTTCAAAGTTTTAGATAAAGGATCACTTCTAAGTATCCTATACCTAACTAACAAGCTTCCTAAGCACTAAGGAGAAGCTTTAAAACAGGAAATTAAAGCCTATTAAGAACAGGTAGGTTTAATTCTTTACACAGCAGTTATAATCTGCCTAGATGTAGCATATGCGGCATCTTAACTATCACATCACCTAACTAACCCTAGAGCTGCTCACTTTAAAGCAGCCGCTCAAGTTATTAGCTACCTGTACCAAACTAAGCACCTAGGTATAAGGTACGGAGCTCATCAGGGCAGCCAGTTGTTGATGTGTGGAGACGCGTCATTCGCTGATGATAGCGAAACTCGTCGATCATCTCAGGGCTATATTGTGCAGCTCTTTGGAGGTCCTATTATATGGAAAGCAGCCAGGCAAGCAACAGTTACTACATCAACAACAGAGGCAGAACTGCTTGCTTTAGAGCATGTGGTCAAGGAGAGCACTGCTCTAAAGCTGTTCCTTAACGAGCTGCGCCTTGACCTAGGGGTCGCTTGGGAAATCTTCTGCGATAATCAACAAACTATCCGGCTTGTAGTGGAAGAGAGCGAGCGGCTCACCACTAGGCTGCGCCATGTGGATATTCAGAATATGTGGCTGAAACAGGAGCACGCCAAGGGAACCTTCACAGTCACCTATATGAAGACTAGTGAGATGCCAGCTGACGGGCTTACAAAAGCGCTGCCCAGGCAGGTTCACAAGCGCTTTCTCGCTCATCTTAACTTGTTTAATATACAACAGGACTCCAAAGGAGCAAGTGATTAGTCAGTGAGCTGATCACAACAGGTCCTAAGGAAGAGCAGATATTAAAGTCTCACCTCAGGAATATCAATATTTCACAGAGTTACAAAAGAGCAGGTTAAAGTAGGAGCAAACAATTAATTTCTTTAAAACTAGGGAGGACAAACCCCCCCCTAATAGGTAAAGGCAGCTCTTTTGAGCGCTCTACTGGCAGCCGACAAGCTCGGCGCCACACAAACAGACCACAACAACCCCAGCACTAACTCAGACACCACCATCAGGGGTTCTAGGACCTATCTAGGCAGAATAGTAGCCATCCTCAACAAGCCCCTTCACCACCTAATAGGCGGCACGCAGCTTAGTCAACCGCTAGAAGCTTGTTAACACCTAAAGACAAAATCAAAGGTTCAAAGGGTAAGACTTACAGGGGTCGTCACTCTATTAGAGCGAACAAGCTCCTTGACCAGCTCCAAGCTAATCAGCTCAAGGGCAGAGGGGCTATAATAAAGCAATCAGACTACTATTTAACAGCTCTAAACTAAAGAGACTTACAGAGCCTGGCAGGAGTGCCCGTGGGAGCACTGGAAACACCTCTTCGCCCGTCGGCTAGCGTTCTCCACGTCGTAACAAAGATCAGCTGAGCTGCTCGTCAGCAGCGCGGCCACACAAGTCCCACAGGGGATCACCCTGCGGGTGCCCCTAACGAGTGGTACCCTGGAAGGGGACCCACCCACTGCTGTGGCGCCGGGGGTGGTGCTAGTGGTGGTGCTGGTGGTGGGGAGGGTAGGGAGGGGAGCGTGAGGGTCGAAAGGACCCTTAAAGGAGCCCTCCACTCCCACAGAG